GGGGACAAAATGGATCCCTGCGGTACTCCATGGCATAGCTGCCATGGAGTACCGCAGGGATCCATTTTGTCCCCTTTGCTGTTTAACGTCTACATGAAACTGCTGGGAGAGGTCATCAGGAGGTGTGGGCTGCGGAATCACCAGTACGCTGATGATACCCAGCTCTACCTCTCATTTTCCACCAATCCAGGTGAGGCAGTGGCTGTGCTGAACTGGTGCCTGGCCGAGGTAATGGTCTGGATGAGGGCCAATAAACTGAAGCTCAATCCAGACAAGACGGAGGTCCTGTTGGTTGGTGGTTCGGGCTTTGGGGAGGGTGAATTGAACCTTGTCCTGAATGGGGTTGCACTCCCTCTGAGGGACAGGGTTCGCAGCTTGGGAGTGCTCCTCGACCCAGAGCTTTCACTGGAAGCTCAGGTGACAGCGGTGGCGAGGAACGCTTTCTTTCAGCTTCGGCTGATCCATCAGCTGCGCCCCTACCTGGAGTACGACTGCCTGGCGACAGTGACACACGCGCTGGTGACTTCCCGACTTGACTTCTGTGACGCGCTGTATGTGGGGCTACCCTTGAAGACGGTCCAGATACTTCAATTGGTTCAAAATAGAGCTGCCAGGCTGCTAACGGGGACTGGGCGTTATGTTCACATGACTCCAGTCCTACGTCAGCTTCACTGGCTTCCCATTGAAGTCCGGGCCCAATTCAAGGTGTCGGTGATGACCTATAAAGCCCTTAATGGCTTAGGTCCTGGTTACCTGAAGGAGCACTTATGTCCATATGTGCCCGCCCGCCCCTTGAGATCAGCGGGAGAGGCCCTCCTCCGGGAGCCCTCAGTGAAGGAAATTAGGAGGGTGAGTACTCGGAGGAGGGCTTTTTCTGCGGTGGCACCCAATCTATGGAATGCGCTCCCCAGAGAGGTCTGCCTGGCACCGTCGTTATTTGTTTTTTGGCGCCAGGCGAAGACCTTTTTATTCAAATGCTATTTAATTGTTAATATTATTTATTCATTTTATTCTTTGGCCAGGGCGACTTAATTTATATTGTTAATTTATATTATTCTATTTTGAAGTTTATTTATGGTTGTGAGCCGCCCCGAGGCTTCGGCGAATGGGGCGGCATAGAAGTCTCCTAAATAAATAAATAAATAAATAAATAAATAAATAAATAAATAAATTCTGGCATTCTCTGAGTCCAAGGATAGACAACTTTGAGCTTTGCTGGGGTGGTCACTTAGGCAATACCAAAAAAAGAGGACAGAGATAATACTTGCATACACTATTTTAAAATATAGAATCGGGATTAGATATAATTTCAATAACAGAAATACATCCAGCCATAGTGAAGAACACTGTGACTGGGTGCCTCTGTGTCTACTTGCTTAATCTAAGGTCTAGATCCTAACTGTGAATGGTAAGTTCAACTTTCCTGCATTCCGTGCTGTTTTATGGTTCCATATCTTTCACCAGGCCCTCTAAACAAAAGGCCTTTCAAACAGAGGGCTCCTCTCTTCAAAGAGAGGCCAATCCTCTGCAAAGGAGGGCAGGTGCCCTCGCAGGAATGAACTACCTTCCTTGAGAGGACTGAAGATCAGAGCTAGAGCACATGCTTTGCATGCAGATGGTCTCAGCTCAGCCCCAGACGCCTTCTGCTTGAAGCCCTGGGGATCTGCTGCTAGCCAAAGGCAACTCTACTGGGCTAGATGGACAAGCAGTCTGGCCTAGCACAAGGCAGCCCTGTGTCCTCCTTGTCTTCTGGTCCTGGCACAGGTGGTGGGCAGAGCTTGCCCCTTTTATGAGGCTGCGGAGTGGGTGGCTGCATCCAGAGGTGGAGGGCTGTTCTGCTCTTGTCTAAATGGAATCGCTTCCTCCAGGTGTGTGCAGCTAAGAGTAGCAGAACAGGAGGAGAAATGTTACTTGGAATAATCCAGATTTCCTCAACCTGGCATCTTGCATAAGTGTTGGATGCATCTTCTATAATCCTCTAGTGATGAGTGTTGTAGTCCTATGCACCTGGAAGGCAGCCAGCTTGAGGAACGCTGCAGCATGCCTGCACCCTGGGGTGAATCAGAAGGGACCACATGGAACCAGAAGCAGTTGCAAGCAACAGTGCAATCAAAGGCCTAAGACCAGGCGACTGATCTCGCTGACAGAAGGAACTCACCAAGCAGCCAGACAGAAGAAACTAAATTCTGACTTACATCATTGGGAACCAGAAACTCCTGAGAACTATTCTGAGAGTTTGTGTCCAGGCCTGAAGAGGGAGAGAAAGAAAGCACAGCATTACTGGGTCTGTTCTGTTTGCTCCTAAACTGTTATTTCATAATCTACTCTAAGAGGAGAGACAGAAGACTGCAGAAGAAATGACATTCCAGCACCCTAAAGATTCTTCCTAGACATTACGGGAGGGATTGGATGACTTGCCAGCTACCACAAAGCAATCAGCAGCTTCAAGAAAAGCCTTTTGTTTTGTGTCATTTTGCTTAGGTCACATTACATGGGACTAATTTTAGATAGTCCCAGGGGAAACTCCAGTGACAGCCCATCCCAGGCTCCTCCATCCCGATGCTAGTGCTACTCATGTCACACAACAGGAAAACATCCTGGGTCCTACCCAGATCGTCCAGTTTTAGCTTGCATTTCCTGCTCATCTTTGTGAGGAAACAAAGATCCAGGTGTATGAATTTGGACCAATAACTGACTGGTAGCCTAACCTACCTCACAAGTTGTTGTGAGGCTAAAACAAGAGAGGAAAAGAAAAACCATTTAGGCCAACTCCAGCTTGCTTGTCAGGTTGTTCTGCAGTATATAATTTTGAGAAATGTTGTGAAAAGGCATTTCACATAGCTTCACCGGTTTTAACAAGACATTATCCCTAATTAATCCTGGTATAAATTTGTTGTTCTTCTCACATTCATTCTGTGAACCATCTTTATCACTCAGATTTTTAAAATCATGCCTGCCATTTTTTTCTCTAGTCAATAGGGATGGGTGCAAAATTCATTAAGTTCACATTTCAGTGAAATGTGAACTGGGCCACCTCCCAGACCCGAATGCAATTAGCAGCTATAAATCCGTAGTTAACTGAATTTGTGTTGCATTTTGCAAAATAAGAAAGTGTATTGAACAAATTGCACACATTGGCAAAAGTGTGCATTTCTAAAATGTGCAAAAACAATCTGTCAAATCTGGGTGACTAAACATGCAAATTCGGGTGCACGTTTACAAGAATGCATGCACACCTGACAATGTGTACATTAAAAAATCTGCACGAATTATTTACAACTTGCTCTATGGGTAAAATATGAACCTTGATGGAATAAGTCTAGTGATTGAGAACTGAGAACTGAACCCGACTAGTAAGTCAGTGCCTCTACAACTGGCTTGGGCAACCGGGTGCTTACCAAACGTTTGCTCTACATCTGGTATTAGCAGCAGCGAGCTTAGCCAAAGATCAGGGATTATGGTAGTTGTAGTCCGAAACATCTGGAGGACACCAGTTTGGAGAAAACTGTGCTACAATCATGTAGTTGCAAGCATCTCTTTTATGCTTATGTTTTTCTCCCTGCACGCACAGATTTAGTTTAATAAATCACTCATTATTATGCCTTGCCTTGCATTTATTGCTCTGAGTTTTTAGGGAAACAAATTGTCCTCCTGACAAAGGCTTTCAATGTTTTCCCCAAGCAACATTTTAACTGACATCTGCTGTTACATTTTCTTAGCCAAAAATTCTTGAATGACTTTTTATAATGAATTAACAAAAATACTGTTGACAGCAATACTGGGTCTATTGTCCAACAACTGTAAGCATGTGTGAATTCATTTTTTGTGCATAAAAAGAGTGTGGTGTAGTAGCTAGAGTGGACAGCCAGTGTGGTATAGTGGCTACAGTGCTGGACTGGGAGTCAGGAATTGTATGTAGGTTCTGGTCCCCTCTTGGCCATGAAGTTCACTGGGCAGCTTTGGGCCAGTCCTGACTCTCAGCCTAACCAACCTCACAGGGCTGTTGTGAGGATAAAATCAAGAGGAGGGTTATATAAACCATCTTGGCTTCCTTGAAGGAAAAAAGGTGGGATATAAATTATAAATATAAGCCACCACTTGGTATGAAATACTCGGCTCAAGACTCTTTTGTTCTTTTTGTATCTAAGAGTTCCCATATACTCGGAAACAAAAACCACCCCTTTTCCCACCTAGCGCACTCCCAGTTATAGCCCTGCAACATTGTGTTTTTTAAAAGTTTAGAGGATGAGCATTCCCACCTGTTGTTGGACTCTCAACTAGGAATGCTGATCCAGCCCTTTCTTTTGAAAGCTGCGAACATCAGCAAAACTAACCCTTCTCTCTACCCCAGATATTACCTCAGCATTTCACTGACAATGTGCTGTTTTACTTAGTTCTTTGAAGGTCTTGCATTCCACATATTCTGGGTTGATTTTTGCACCCTTGTCTTTCAGTGGGCACTTGAGGGACTATTGCATAGACAGCTGGGGAACATATTGACTGGTCTTCTGAGTAAGCAGAGGATTCTGGGAGCTTAAGTGGGTTCATGGATCCTGTTACAGAGCTCTCAGCAGTGGGCTCCTCACCTGCTACTATAGATGGAGTTTGTCCCAAAGACGAAAATGAGACGGGGTGTCCAGAAAGCTGCTGCAACTTTGTCACCTGCACAAGAGGAAACAGTTAGATGGCAGAGTGAAAGCAAGAGCTCCTTCGCCAGGTGCCTCCAAGGTAAGACTCCAGGTGCCATGGGCCTGCCACATGCACAGGATCTTCCAATTGCTATCGCATTCCCCACTAATCCATCCATCCTTTTCTTGCTGTCAAGGAAAACTTGTTAAGGAAAAAAGAATTGCTACACTGTACTTTGCCACTGCAGTCCTAGAAGCACTCTGTCTGGAAGAACCCACCATCTCCCTGCCCAGGTTTAATGTTAGCACACAGATGAATCATCTGTCCATCTAACCCCAGTTTCCAAGGAGTATCTTTTCCACAACCTAAACTGGAAAGCAGCAAAAAGCTGCCTAAGGCAACATCTGGCAAGGTGGCATGATCCTTTGCACACAGACATTCCCAGAACAACACATTCTGTGTATAACAAACAGCCTTAAGTATAACTGATATCAGAATCTACAACAGGGGCTGCAAAGCAACTATCAGTACACAAGAATCTGCAAATACTGATGGGGGCAGGTCTCATCCTTCTCTAAAACCCCACTTCTCTCTGCCCTCCTGTTTGCTGGGAAACAATTGCTCACAGTTACCACTGTAAGTAAAGGAAACAGCAAGGCTGTGCCCAGCAGTGTTTTCCAACTAGAAAGGGATCCTTGGGGAAGTATTCCTGAGTCACACCCCCACAGGGTGCGATGATCTCCCAGCATCTGAGTACATGTGCCTGGCTGATGAGGAAAGCCCATTCTGTTATAGATCCTGGTTATTCTTGGGCATATTAGATTGTTCTAACCCCCAGACAAGTGGCTGGAGAATGGAGCTGCCTCCAAGTATATATATGAGAAGCAGGCTTTCCCCAAGGCTTAGTGCCAAACAAAGCGGTTGAAATTCAGTGATACTAAATAAAGCAAGTGAAGCTTTCTCTGGTGTGGTTTGTCTGCAGCTATCATAAATTCTGCTCTCATTATGTTGAGAGCCTCCCTCAACATGAGAAAAGCCCTGCTGGATGAGGCCAATGGTCCATCCAGTCCAGCACCCCATTCACACAGAGGTAAACCAGCTGTCCACAGGATCCCTCAAGCAGGAGGGGTACAAGACTTCTGCCTTCCCAAGCTCCTCAGCAATCAGTGTACACAGCTGACTCTGATAATGGAGGAAGCACACGGTCAACCAAGTCAGTAGCCTCTGATGGCCTTCTCTTCCATGAGTTTATCCAATCCCTTTTAAAGCCAGCCCAGTGTCGGCACAGACAGAAGCCACGGCCAAGGGTGTCTGCTATCAGCTTTGGCTGATTCGCCAACTGCATGCCTTCTTGGAGGAGAGTGACCTGAATACAGGAGGGTTCACACCGATAACCTCTAGACTCAATTCCTGCCATGCGCTCTACATAGGGCCAACCCTTGTGCCTACTCCAGAAACTGCAGTCGGTACAAAATATGGCAGCCAGGTTGGTCTCTGGGTCATCAGGGGAAGACCATATACTGATGATATTAAAGTCATTGCACTAGCTGTCAGTGTGTTTCCAGACACAGTATAAGGTGTCGGTAATTATCTTTACAGCTCTTCATGGCTCAGGTCCAAAATACCTTCAGAAGCACCTTTGCACATACATTCCACCTTGCCTGCTACAGTCCTCTGAGGATAATCTGTAGCTTACCTCTGTAAGATTCATGTCTAGCATGCAAAGGCCTTTCTCAGTGGTTGCCTCTAAACAATGGAAAGGCCTGCCAGGAGAGATTGGTCAAATATCCCACATTGCTACCTTTAAGAGGGAGTTAAAGATGTATCTCTTCTGACAGGCCTTCCCAGATTCGTTCCCAGATCAGTTGTACTTAACATGCTTTTTACAGTTGAAATTTTAACTATTGATGGTTTTAATCTCTTGTAAACCACCCAGAGCTTATGGGAACTGAGTGGTACATAAAAATCTAAATAAATACATAAACTGCAGATTGGTGGCCCTCACTGCTTCCTGTGGCAGTAAGTTCCATAGTTTTAACTATGTTCTATGTGACGGACTGCCTTTATCTCACCTAAATCTCCCACCAGTCAGCTTCAAGGGATAACCCTGGATTCAAGTGTCATGGGAAAGGAAGAAAGATGTCTCCTTTTTGTACACCATACATTATTTTGAACGCTTCTATCATGTCTCCTCTTACTCTCCTTTTTCCAAAGCTAAACAGTCCCAGCTGTTGTAACTGTTTCTCATGGGGAAGCTGTTCCAACTCCTTCACCATTTTTGTTGCCCAACTCTGCCCTTTTTCCAACACAATAATGTCTTTTTCACATCAAAGATTCATATAAGAGCAGTTTTATTTTCCATTTATTTCCTAATTATGCCTACCACAAAGTTTGCCTTTTTCACAGCAGCTGCACACTGGGTCAACATTTTCATCAAGCTGCCAACCACAACAGCTAGATTTCTTTCTTGCTCAGTCCTTGCTCACTCGAATACCATCAGCCCGTACTTGAGGTTGGGATTGTTTGCCCCAACATGCGTTACTTGTACACTTGCCTAACTAAACTGCATTTGCCATTTGTTACCCATTTTCCCAGTTTGGGCAGATCCCTTTGGAATGCCTCATGATCCATTTGGTTAACCACCCTAAACAGTTTGGGGTTAGCTCATATCGGTCCCAGCCTACACGACCAATAGATGGGAGGCTGGGAGTTGTGCTCCCAGATCTAGAAGGCACCAGATAGGGAAAGGCTCTTCATAAGAGGAGACGGAGAATGGAAAGAGGCAGGGTGGAAAACTGAGAACACACAACCAGGGTAACAAGCGATGAGGAACAATGGAAGGTGAAGGCATGGAGAAGCTAGACCTGACTAAATAATTCCCTGGGAGTGGAAATTCAAAATATTAGCATTTATATGAGCTGAAAGCTAGACTTACCTCAGCTTGAGACATGCCACTGTACTGTCCTTGCAAGGAGAATCCCTAGGAGAGGGGGAAAGGGTGGCAAATAAGGGTTATGCTCCCAAAAGAAAGAAAAACTGATGGGCGCACTTGTTTACTTCTTGTTTCCTGTGTTTGTAGATGAGTTGCATGTTAAACGAGTAAGTACAGGAAGAAAGATATACTCAAGAAGGAAGACTGTCCGGTAATTATCATGCTCACTGACCTATCCATTTTAACCTGAGAAAGCACCCTGAGAATAAGAGTGCAGTCCTCTGAATTGCTGGCTGGGAAATGCTGGGGGGAGTGGGGGACAACATGTCCAGACATCATGCCTACAATTGCATCCTACAGAACTTGCTGGGAAGAGAGTATAGAAAGTCTACCAGCAGTGTCATCACCATACCAGAACATGCGAAACAAGCAAGATGATTTTCTTTTTTTTAATAATATCAATTTTATTTCAATGTCTTTATTTACAGCTTTTGCCAAAAGCAAAAAGATTAAAAATTAGACTCTTCCTTTTATCCCTTGAACTTATCCTTTTTATCCAATGTATCAAGTGAATATAGGCAATGAATTGCTCTTCTATGGAGAACCCAGATAAATGTTCTTCTCCCAAACAAATATTAACTTTTTAAATAAGGGAGCAAGTCACTGCTTTTATAATGCAAGGGTTGTTTCTATTCTTAGCATTTTGCTTACTATTTTCTGTCCCAAAATTATGAGAGATTTCAGCAGATTGAAATGCAAATGAGTAATTGTTGCTCTGGACTTCAAATCCAAAGTAGTGAAGTATCTCTGTAAAGTAAAATGATCTGTAAGGTTGTAACTCCATACACATTTGGACCGGGAAAAGTCCTAAAAGTGTCACCATTCCCTAGCCAGCCTGGAAATGCTGGTATGACTTTTTTTTGCCTAAACATGCATAGCATTGCCCCCTAAAATAGTTTTTTAAATGGAGCTGTGTATTACAGATCTACAACTGATTTATAACCCGTACGCTGATGCCAATAAACCTGGGCTGATGGGTGGGGTAGAAATATAATAAATACATAAATAAAATAAACCTGTACCAGTCTCTTGTCACTGTGAGGGAAGTGAGTCACCCTCCTTTGTTTATATACAGTTGCAGCGATTTTATTTCATTCTACCACTCTACATTTTTCCCTGCATCAGTTCACTCATATCTGGCCATCTGGTAAACACATTTTAATTTTTTAACCAAGAGTTAATGCTTCTCAGTTGTGCTTGAGTGGTAATATTTATTAAAACTGATTCGGTATGCATCATGGCCAGTGGAGTAAAATTTTGCAAGCATAAACAGCTTTAACAAAATGACAGATGTTCTTCCGCGCATATAGCAAAGGATCTGTATTGCACACCCATATCTGTATAAAATTGGCTTACCACAGCAACACAGAGTCTATTTTTGCTCCGTAAACATTAATTGATAGGAGCTCCTCTTCTACCAGTTTTGACAGAGAGGCAGAATTCTTCCCATGGCTTATTTTACTTCTTCCATTCCAAGGTTGCTGCTATGTCAGGAAGGGTGGGGTGATTGGCCCAAATATGGGACAAATGTAAGGCACAATTTATATAAGTAATCCATTTTAGGCTACTTATAGAGTAATCAAGCCCCCAAGCTAGTCTGAATTTAATTTTTGTTATGGCACACCCCAAAAGAAGAAGGGGATGGCAGAGGATGAGGTGGCTGGATGGAGTCACTGAAGCAGTTGGTGTGGGCTTGAGTGGACTCTGGGGGATGGTGGAGGACAAGAAGGCCTGGAGGAGTGTTGTCCATGGGGTCGCGATGGGTCGGACACGACTTCGCGATTAACAACAACAACAACGGCACACCCCATGGTGCTGGAGCAGTGACACTATGCAGCTGCTCTCCTGCTAATGCTTGGAGATGATGTCCAGAGAAAAGCTCCTAAGAAATGGAGACTGCTTGCTAAAAGTCTCCTACCTGGTTGGTTCCTTCTTAAGGATGGAGCTTTCCCTAACTTGTATGTAGGTGGAAGAAGGGCTGCTGCTCCAAGCAGGTATCCTTGGCCAGCTCTCTTGATGTTAAGGGTCACTTCAGCCCCCTTCAAAGTCTGCGATGTCACTAGCCCTGCACTGCAAGGCAGAACCTGGCCCTATTTGTATACTCCACACGCTTGTAGGAAAGTTGCTCTGCTTATGCAGACAGACTCTGCATGTTGCCATCCTTAAGCATGTGGCCACTGATGGATTTGACAGAAGTGCTCTGCCACACGGCAAAGAAGAGGAAGGAAAGGCAGAAAGGCACAACAGATGCCCATGACATCATTCCAATATTTTTCAGTCTATTTTGAACTTGATGTGTTATGATAAGGAACTAGCAACAAAACTAAAGCCTATGGGTTCACTCCCTTTTGAACCCCAGTAAAAAAAATAACCTGAGAATTTAGGTGTCCCTTACCTGATTGGCGGAGAGAAGAACCGGTCCCAAAGACAGGCTTGGATGATAGGGAATAGTGGCACCTTTGGGTGGTGACTGAAGGAAATCAAAAGAGAAATCACTGGGCTGTAGACAAGATGCCCTGCCCAGATACACGCCAATCCCCTTGCCTCCTGTGCATTACTTTGTCTCATGAAATGTGCCACGGCACTGTTCAAGATGCTTTGGAGAATGTTCAGCAAACTCTTGTTTGGCAGGATACGATCAGCGATGCCTGGAGATGTGCGCTCTCTTGAGGGGTATAGGAGGGATAGGCAATGTGGCACCCAAGGCACCAGGTTGCCTTCAGACGCTATTCTTTCCAAGGTGCCCTCCTCCTCCTCCTCCTTTTATAACAAAGTTCCTTGCTGGCAACTCAGATCTGCTGAGCAGAGTGAAGATGCTGCTCCCATCTTCCCCCATGAATGCCTCTGGACCACACATGGGGCCCAGGAACCTTTTGGGGAAATCAAGAGGGCAGGTGCCTGCAAGCTGGTACCTTCATCTGCCCCAGGCACTTTTTGTGTTGGTGCCCAGGGCAGTTTCTCAAATGGCTAAATGTGCCCATGGGCCCAAAAGACGGCCAACCCCTGGAGCAACATGTCACACTTGGTCACAGCAATGTCTCCTGCCTCCAGAGACAGCTGAAGGAAGAATGAGGAAGAAACAGTGATGTCTGCTCCGGGGCTGGTGACAGGGCCATCAGGTGCACTGCAGGCAACATTCATACTGGCAGAAACGATTGCAAAATAGCCAAGGCAGAATTCATCTTTGGTTTTGTAGATGGTGCTCACAAAAGGCCAAACGAGATGTGACACGTGACCCCTTCACCAAGGGAAGGGGACACAGCTCTGAGGCAGAGCATATGTTCTGCATGCAGGTCCACGATTCAGCACTTTGCATCTGTACGTAGGTAAGGCTTGAAAAGATCCCCGTCCAATATGCTAGTATGCTAGTATATCAGTCAGTATAAACAATACTGAGCTAGGTGGACCATGGTCTAACTCAATATTTGGAGTTTCTTTTGGCCTCCTTTTTTCCCTGGAAGCAGACGCAAGGGGCTGTGAATCCAGTAGAACCACAAGAGAGCAGGAGACCATTTTTCTGGTCTACCCCCACAAAGGGAGCTGATACAACAGAGGTGCAGCATCTCCCACTCGAGGCCCAGCCCAGCCTTCTGCAGTTTCCCAGAAGACTTCAATCCCTTCTTGTGGCTTCCACCCAGTGGCTTTTGTGCAGCTTATCCCCATTCTAAAAGGCTGAAATGCCTCTCCTAAGGTTTAGCTATTGGTGGTAAGAATTTTAAGCTAAAATATTGCTGATTTTTCCCCCTTCAGCTACCCATTTCCTTCAGCCCTGCTCATCTCTGGACTGTAGCCCCCCAAAACTCCTCCAAAATGGTCTTTGGCCCTGAATGAGGCTTAACGCCCCCAGGGCACGGATGGGATCCTATATCTTTTCCCCTCAGGGAAGAAAACTAGCTAGATGGGAAAACATGGAATGGGGAAAATGGCTGTAGGAAAAGAATTAAGTGTGGTTTCCATGATGCTGCTCCTTGGAACAGACTCAGTCTTCTGCATCCACATTTCAGTTGTAAAAGGAAAAAAAAGGCTGCTTACATGTCTCCTGTATAGCTTAGCCACAGGGCTAGCAAGACATCATGCTTATGAATATAGTTGCTGACTCCAAGCAGAAAAAATATAACATGATGCACAATTTAAGAAAGTGAAGGAAATAAAATCTAACAGTTTTAATGATTTTGTGTGCCAAAATATTATGAATATTATAAAATAGTTATATGCTTTCCGGCGCCAGATCAAGACCTTTTTATTTTCCTGTAATTTCAATGTTTAAATATTTTAATTCTGTTTTATGATCAGTCATAGATTATTATGGATTTATATGTATTTATTGGGTGTTTGATTTGTAAGCCATCCAGAGACGCGCAACGTAATTGGATGGGATAAAAATACCCAAATAAATAAATAAATAAATAGTAAATCCAAAGTTTGTTAGGTTTTGATTGCTATCAATAAACAAGTGCTGAAGAGGAAGGAAGAAAATGGATTAATCCTATTAATAGTGCAACACTATACACACTTGCCTGGGAGTAAGCCCCATTAAATTTAATCAGATTTAGTTTTGAGTAGTTATCCACTGTGAATTTCCTACACCTCTGCATATTCATTTGGTTATCTTTCTCCTTTCTCTTCCCAATTGCTTTGCTGGTGCAAATGGGAGAGGTAATACTAAGAGTGAGAGGAAGGTAATACATTTCTTTGGAGAACCAAATCTCTGCCTAGAAGACAGCCACTACATGTCTGTTCCCCTAGTCAACTGTACACAGGAATAGTCATCATCCCCAGCCAGCACAGTTATGTCTGGAGGGTCCCCAGCTAACCCAGCTGGGAAAATTTCATTTGAACAACCAATGATTTGTTCTAAAAAATAGAAACTCAGTTTCAAACATGGATACCAACTTTTACTTTGCTAAAATATATGAAGTAGCCCTTTCAAATAAACTAGTTCAAAATTATATATGTATCTAACTTATTCTTAGTGTTTATTCATAACATATAAAACAGCCAAATAGAAATCCTTAATTTCACAATTGCTCTCTAAGTGGACATATTCTGAGTGCAAAAGCCACATGGGTTGCATGATTAGAGAGTTTAGATTATCCTTCTAAGTAACATAAAGATACTATGTAGTTACAGACCATTACTACTACTACTATTACTACTACTAATACATTTATACCCTGCCTTTTTCCTCTTGAAAGGAAGCCAAGGCAGCTTATATGGTCCCCTTCCTCTTCAGGACCATATAACAAGCTCCTAGGGTGGGCACTCACTGGAGGACTCACTGGAGAAGAGCCTGATGCTGGGAACAATTGACGGCAAAAGAAGGGGATGGCAGAGGAGGAGGTGGCTAGATAAAGTCACTGAAGCAGTCAGCGTGAGCTTAAGGGGACTCCGGGGGAGGGTGGAGGACAGGAAGGCCTGGAGGAATGTTGTCCAGGGGGTCATGATGGGTCGGACACTACTTCGCGACTAACAACAACAACAGGGTGGGCATCTTTAACATGAGCACTGTCATGGGCTACAGCTGACTGAGAACTTAACTCACAATATGCCTGTGAAGTATGTTAAACTGAGAGTCAGCAATTGGTTCAAAGTCACTCAGGGAGCTTTATAGCCAAGCAGGTTCTTGAAGCTGGATTTCTTGAATTCCAGGCCAACCTTCTAACTGCTATGCTGATTCAAGAAATATATGAATTAGAAAACTGGTAATTTGATTTAAAACAGTGATTGCTTTAGCTTGTTTTCTTCTCTTAAATGTAATGCCTGTCCTGAATCTCCCACCATGAGATGACCCCACTGGATTCTAATATTATGAGAGAGGGAGAGAAGCTTCTCCATATCTACTTCCTCCAGAATATTCATAACCTTTGTACTTGCGAGTTTGGAAGAAAATGTAGTTCAGTCCAATCTGAGCATAAATGGATATACAGCCATGAAGCAGTACTTCAGGAGTACACAAAAATACAGAGTTTGGCCCCCGCCTGATGACATGGAAGAAACAAGAACCATACCTCCAAGATAACAGCACAGATCTGTCGCACACACTGGATGATGGCATCGGGTGCGCCAGAGACTGTCACGGCCCTCTCAGTGGAGTTGGGGAGAAGGTCTCCAGCCACCTGGACTTGTGCTCCTGTACTCTGGAATGAGAATAGCAGCCAAAAAGAACCGCTCAGTCTTCCTGGGCAGCTTGGAAGGCTCTGCCTGGGTCAGAACTGCCACCTGCCCCAATTGGATCAGTGTAATGAGAGTCTACAAGAGGTCGATCAATTTATTCAGGAATGTTTGTGTCCCTTCTGATTTTATGGTTTCCTACAAATGCGATCCATGCCTGAAAGAGTATTTTTATTGGACCTTCTCAGAGGGATGCAGATCAGAAAAGCTTCTCTCTACAGTTCAATTTTTTGTTTAATAGGAAGACTAGAGTTTGGTCTTGGTGCCCAGAAGCACTTTCATGATATTTTAAAAATATTTACTCTTGTAACAACATAGGCTCAAAAATGCACATAAAAACTAGAAAACCAGTTGCAATACAAAAAATAAATGTGGCGGAAAGTGGAGTTCTTGCCCATGTAGACAAGATGTAGGGCTCTTCTCCATGAGGCTGTTAATCTACTGAATCTACTTTTGGGTTTGTAACTGAACCATGTTCCAATCACTGCATGAAGAATGCTTTCTTTCCTGCTTTCCCACTACATCACCACAAGGTGGATCTATGCTACAGCGCACTTGCGCAAACACACACAAAAAGTGAAAATAGCATTTTCTTTTGTTTTCAAACATAATACCACACTTTCCCTGCTCTAAAAAAACTAGCCAAACGTGTTCTTTAAAAAAATAGAAGTGAAACTGGAAGAAAACGCCATCATCTGAAGAACCCGTAAAGAACAAGCAGTAGGTAATGACCTATAGTGAATGTCCCAAGTAGAAAAGCACATGGAGAGGCCTGAAGAAAAAGGAAGAGCAATTATAATTGGTTTCCAAAATGTTTACCTCTCGAATCTCCTTTATTTTGGCTCCTGCTTTGCCAATGAGTGAACCACACTGGCTGGCTGGGATGACTAGCCTCAGTGTTACGGGTGACTTGGAGTTTGTTCCTCCATTGGTAACTCCAGTTCCCAGGTCCTGCAGTAAAAGGAAAGAGTTAGGTTCAAGTTGCGTTCAGAATCACGTTTAGGTATCTTTGTAACATTCTGGACTGTGTACCATTCCAGGAACTGCTATTCTGCTCACTGGGGGAACAGCACAACTAGTCATGAATAATCCTGTGCCTGGTTTTGATTAAAAAGGTAAAGGTTTCCCCTTGACGTTAAGTCCAGTCATGTCTGACTGTAGGGGGCGGTGCTCGTCTCCGTTTCCTAGCCGAGGGAGCCAGCGTTTGTCTGCAGACAGTCTCGACGGTCATGTGGCCGGCATGACTAAACACCGAAGTGCACGGAATGCTGTTACCTGCCCACCGAAGTGGTACCTTTTCATCAACTTGCATTTGCATGCTTTCGAACTGCAAGGTTGGCAGGAGCTGGGACGGAGCAATGGGAACTTGCCCCGTTGTACAGATTCGAACCAGCGACCTTTCAATCAACCAGCCCAGCAGCAGAGCGGTTTAAACCACTGCAGCACCTGCATCCCGGTTATGATTAGGAGGGTGGTATAATTCCCTCCCATGTGTCTGCCAATGCCATTGTTTTTAACGTAATGTAAAAGAAAGAGTATTACAGACTATGCATGGTTTTGCCTTATTGGCTATTACAAAATATCACACGTAAAACTCATTCTCTCAAAAACAAATGGTCCAATGGTCTTCCTTCCCCAGTCTGTGTGGAATTATCAATTTGATCAAGGAAGGACGCAATATTCTTCCCAGAAATCACACAACTAGACTCCAAGCAGATCCACCCTGCCATTGCCTGAATGTGATTGTCATGGTGATGCTAGCAAGTGGGGAACGAATCCGTTCCTTCTGTGAGGAAAGGGACTGTGCCTGGTGGAAGCAGGGCTTAGGAAGTGGTGATTTTTACCTCTTCCAGCTTGAATGCAATCATGGAAACAGCTCTGAAAACAGCATCTGTGGATCCTGTAATAGTGGTGATCCGCTCTGGACAAGATCCCTCTGAAATGGTGATCCGGGCTGTACTCTGCGAAAGCAAATCAAGAACAATAATATGAATAAGGTGTTGTACTTATAAAAACTTTTCTCAAAATGTTTTGCTTACATTCTTTCATAAATCCTTACAACCTGTGGGCCCAGAGTATGGTCTGAAGGCACGTAAGGCATCCACCATGTTGAAGTTAAGCATGTCTGGGGCTGCCTGAGCCTGGAGGGGAGACAACCTGGGAACCACATGGAGCTGCCTTCAGTTCCACAAGGGGAGAAAATATAATAAATAATAAAATAATATAAAATAAAACTAACTTCTCTGCGGTGGTGCCCAGATTATGGAATGTACTCCCAGGACAGCTGTGCCTGCGCCAAGTTTATACTCTTTTTGGTGCCAGATTAAAACCTTTTTGTTTAATTGCTATTTTAAAAATTAATATTTTATCCTTAACTCTCATTTTCTGTTTTTGTTTTTATATAATTTTATGGAATTGTTATTGTTTTATTGGTTTTAATTGTATGTTTGTAAGCCGTCCTGAGATGCTTAGGCATGTGGTGACGGCATATAAAAGTTTTAAATAAATAAATGGTACCCTCCATATATGTGGAGTATAACTCCAACAAGTCCCTACTATTTGTTGGTGCTGGCTGTGATTATGGGACTTGTGGTGCAACAAATACAGAAGGCGCCAGATAGAAGGTAAGGAAGGCTAGTTTTATTATGGGGAGATCTTCTGAAAGTGTGGGAGGGTGCAGGGTGGGGGGGTTGCCTGTTCATGGATGAATTGAAATTAGAACAAGGAACTTCCCAGATCATTATAGTTGCATCAGAGATATTCATTAGAAAATCCCTTCAGGATGTAATTTGTGCTTGCACCACAAAAATCAACAAAATAATATAGCTCTAGCAGGTATGTGACACTCATTATACAACAGGAGAAATTCAAAGACTACTGTGCTCACATTTACATTGTTATCAAAGTCAAGTCTTTATCAACATGATATAATATTATATAATAAATCATTGTATTTCCAAATGGCAGTTTGTACTTCCCAGTACTGTTCTTTTGATTTTTGCATATGATGACTGTAATTATGTCTGTGTGTCATTGAAACTGATAAAGCCAGCAGCATTTAATCCTGAGAATCTACACTGATAGCAACTGGGGGTGTTTCTAAGTTCAGCAATCAGAAAGCGCCATGCAGCTTTTCCGCTTTGTTCTGCTTAACAGATACTCTACGAAAAGAGTATAGATAAAAGCAGCACTGAGAAAAGAAGGGAGGGTTCTGAGTGGAAAAGGACCTTATCTAACCTCCCAAAAAATTCCATGAATGAGGGAGGGTCATAAAAGCCTCCTCTGGAAGTATCCTGAGAATCATGCAGGAAATTCTGTTTTGCACAGATCAAGTTGCACTGCTTGGAAAGGTGGCACAGCAACGTTAAAAGTGGGTAGTCCCGGTGCAAGAGCAGAACAAGCAGTGTGGCGAACGAGTCCTCCGAAGACACTGATTCTAATCTCTGCTAGGCACAGTTCATAATCTGAGGTTTACCCCATAACCATGGGCAGCTAGAGATATGCTTATTTCACAACTGAAATGAAATATAAATTTCTGAATAACAGAAATGAAATATTTCTGAATAACAATGAGCTAACTTTAAACAACTGCTGACAAGCAACATTTATGCAGCCTGTTTCTACTTTCTGTCTCTCCTAACCTAGCTGCATGACCTTCTTCATTCTTGTTCCAGCTTTCCAGCTGCCTCACAATAGACTCTTGCTTACAAAATGACCAGAACCATATAAGCCTTTTATACTTTCATAATTGAAAAGCATCAAGCTTTAAATGATACAATAGATGCCCACCCCAAACTTATAATGGGGCTACTTTCCTCCAGTACACTTACTTGCTCCCGTATCCGCTTCACAGTCTCTCCTTTCTGTCGGATTAAGCACAATAAAGGCAATTAGATCTCCACAGCTACACCGAAAGGACAGAAAAAGCACCTCAGTACAGAGCGACCTGCATTGATCTTACCTTGCCTATGATACTGCCAACTTCCTGCAGAAACACACAAAGACAGAAGAAGCTGAGTTAGAAAAGATGGACCAATCGGCAGACTTTTGGCAATGTCAGTACACTTTCAGCCAATGTGGTCTTTTCTTTTCCCTAATGAAAGTGTGGATTGTTCAGGATTTCACGTGATGGGTAATATGGTTATTCCTTCTCCTGATTACTGGCAAGCAATTTTCTTGGAGCCTTTAAAAATGTTTTGGTGAATTTATTTGCAGCTGTTGATCTAGACAGCTTGGCAATTCCATCTGTTAATTTGACATCATGGAAATTAATGCATAATCCCAATTCAGTATCCTCCAGTAAGTGTGTTATGTGTGGTGCCTTTCCAGTACAGCAGTAGGATAGTGGTGTGTTGGAATTTGGAGACTTGGGTATGCCCAATAATTCCTCCCACCAGGAGAAACAGCAATCGGCTGTTAACTACGCAGGAATCCAGGATGCGGCCTAATGCAGCAGTCCCACTTGACTTACCTTTCCATGCATGAGCATTCTGAGAGTGAGAGTGATGCTGAGTTCTGTTTCATCCAGTCCATTATCTGAGCCACTCATCCTATCTGGTGACGCCATGGTGTAGGAATGCATGGATCTGCTTCTAAGGAAACCAGCACACAGGGCCTGGAAAGTGCTGAAGGCGCCAAATCTGTGGACATATGGAGAGCAATAAGAGAGTATCGCATGCAAGGTTCCCAGTTTCCTTGCTTTGCTTGCTTGTAAATCATTCCAGCAAACTGGCAGGATTATAGTGATTAGTAAGAAGTGGTTGGGCTTCATATACCACCCTTTGGTACTTCCTGTCTCAGAATTGGAGCACCTTGGAGAATAATGATTACAGTGATGAAGGGAAATATCACATATGCAAACAAAGCAGCCTTTCCAGACGTAGCTAACAAGAAACCCTTCACAGAAACTGAAAGACAAGCATAAACCAATCAGGGCAGAGAACACAGTGGATGAGTTTTGAACATATTCTGCTTCTTGCCAAGTTTATCCATTGGGTATACTTATAGAGAGGTTGATGCTATGAAATAGGAATTCTGGGGTCAACTCACAATGTACTTCCCAGCAGGACACATATTTTCCATTTCCGGGAGAAAGACATGTGACAAAACTGATCAGATATGTAAGAGCTCCAAACCCCAGTTTATTTTGCAACGATAACAGAGCTAGCTGCAGGACTAGCTGCTGGTCCAGAGGGACACTGCCTGTAATTGCCATTGCTTCATCTACAAGTATTCATGCACAGAAGTGTTCCACAGAGAGAGAGAGAGAGAGAGAGATTGGGATCAATATGAGGGATGGAGCTTTTTGTCCCCGTGCCAGCTAAATCTTAAAGAGGAGTTGTCCATAGAAACATTCACTTGCATGGATAAAATGAAATGGGGTGGCCTTGGAAAGTGTGTTTGTGTTGGGGTGATGAGTTGCCATATTCATGTGCAACTACTTCCTTGGCAACACTGCAAGAAGGCCCCAGCTCCTCCTTGCTTCACTTCAGTGGAGGTATTGCTCTGGGCCTCCTTGTGGAGAAAGGAAGGCCAATTTTTCACAGCCAGCCCTTTGGCTCTGTAAAGCCAAAGGGTGGCATGTGTGAGGGAGAAGATAGCTTCTCCTTTCCATGGTCTCTTTTCCATGAAAAAGACTGATGGCTTCAGCCAGCCCTGCGCCCGAAGAACAGCCCCGCACCCATTCCTAGGTCTAGATGGGCTTCCTATATGTTTCACAGAAGGACACATAGCACTTGGTGTCTATCATAACCAAAAATCAGAAGCTACAGAAGCTCTTTATAGGTGGACAGATGGATGGATGGACAGCAGTAGTACTCCAAAGAAGCACATGCCCTGAACCAAAATGCCAGCCATTATGATGAAAGGGGTGCAGGGAGAGCCCATATCTCCCCAGAGAGGTCCGCCTGGCACCGTCATTATATGTTTTTCAGTGCCAGGTTAAGACCTTTTTATTTAATCAATATTTTAACAAGTTTTAATATTGAATTTTATTACCATATTTTAACTGCAGCCAGAGTGGGTCGTTAATTTATGTTATACTGTTATGTATTGAATTTTATTTGTGTAAGCTGTCCTGAGGCTCTCGCAAAGGATGGCATACAAATATCTTAAATAAAATAAATAAATAAATATCTTCCATGGATTCCTCGGGTGGCCTCAAGGCATTTCAGTCCACATCAGAATAGTGCAGCCAACCCCACCAGGCCCAGGTGTTCTGACTTGCTCCCAGGGTTGACAGTATCCACACACACAGCACTTCCCCTTTCTGCATCTGCGCACATGCCAGCTATTCACTTATATGGAAAAAAAGGAAAAGAAGAAGAGGGATAAAAGAGTCCTTATCAAGTGGAGGCTCACTCTGACATTGATGAACCTCAGGGCTCCCCCCCCCCCCCAGCTCTCACACACACAGCAGGATCTCTTCACCCATCCCTGGAAACAGTGCTCACCATATTGGGAACCAGGATGTGGGTGCGTGTGTATTCCTATGTCTCCGCCCAACACCAAATAATTAAGCAAACCGAATATAAGTGGGTGCTGACAGAGACAAACGCATCAGCAGAGACTGAAGCAAGTTTTGGCGAAGAATCAACCTAAAGTGGTGCTCATTTTCTCCACTACACTATTAGTTTACTGGTTAATGGAAAGCATTGTAACAGCCATTAAGTGGCCATCTTAGGTACACTTGATTGCCTGCTAATACTAAGCTCTCTCCCTCTCCCTCTGTGTGTGTGTGTTTGTGTGCCTGTGTTGAGTGGGTGCAGCCCAACATTGTTTTACAGCACATGTATGTGGCACTGAGAAAACACAGTGGGAACTGCAAGGGAGAAGGGTCTGAGGGTGGCAGAACCTCCTGCCTGGACGGAGTCTTGCAAGGTGCTAAGTGGTTAGTAAAGGCTTTGCAGGGAACAGATACTACTTTAGAGACTACTCCCATCTGTCTTTTTGCTCCCCAATGCTTAATATATCTGTAAACAGGTATTTCAAATATGCTGTAAGTGGTGCTGTGCCGGAACATCTCTTTCTTTGTGGAAATGGTGAAGGGGGGATGCATAAACAGTGTTATTTGAAAGCCCTGCTTTCCAAATATCATATAACACCGTCTTGCCCACCCTGGAGCCCTCCAGATATATTAGATTACAACTCCCATCACTGTGCCAAATGGTAATTTAACAGACATTTCTACTATGAAGTATGAATTCATGAATATATTTCTTCTCCTAAGGGGTTCCAGTAAACTGTCTCTTTCCCCCCTCTCCTGTTGCACTAACATCAGTAGAAATAAGCAAAAGAACATGTTGCTAATCGCAGCCAAATTTGCTTTGCATGCTCCCCATATATGTGCTCCATCCATAAAATGGGAATTGCTCTCCCACAACATTACAGGAGGATTTGAGGTGCTCCTGTATTACTGCAGCCTCCCCCAATCTAGTGTCCTTTGATGCTTTCAACTACAAATCCCATCAGCACCAGTCAACATGGGCAACCGCCAGGAATGCTCAGAGATGTCATGGAAAACTTCTGGAGGGTATCATGCTGCAGAAGGCAATAATATGAGGACAGAAAGAGACAGGGCTGAAGGGCAGTGGACTGAGAATTAGGAAATCCTTCTTTCCCCAGCCTGTGTGCTTGGCAGCAACAAAGGCAGTCCAGGTGTTAAAAATAGGACTACATATAAGATAAAAGACTATTTCAAAACTCTTGGCCTCCCAGTCAGGCTGGCTTGATTTTCCAGGGTAGTCCAAAAGACAATAGTCCAAAAAACTATTTTGAGGACAGCCAAAGGATTAATCACCTCCGGAACTGGTCCTCATGCATTAGATCCCAGAAAGTCTTTCTGTCATGATGCACAATTTGTAGAATAAATATGAGCGAGTGTGAATAAGGTACTGGGTCACCTCTCTGAGGGGAATGAGGAGCAATAGCTGGGCTAACTCTTTTGCTGGTTGACTCTTGATCTCTGATTGTTTTATGGCCCAGTGCTTGAGACAATTAGTGAAAGAACTGTGATTTAAATTAATGAAAATAAATGTGTAATCTGATGCATATTCATTAATTCACATACACAGTAAGATATTTTAAAACTGCCTTTCAGGACACGGGCGGGGGTGAACAGAAACTTGTGCAAAGCATAATAATATTGACAATCCTCAGTTTAAGAACATGTGATCACTTTAACATGACTGGTAACAACAATTGCTTGGGAGTAAATCTCACTGAGATCAGTTTTCTGTGTAAAAATGCACAAGAACAGGCTATTAAAAGAATTACATGTTTGATGTGAGTTATGTATTGGGCTGTTGCTTCCTCTTCACTAAGGTTGCCTTTTGCATTCTTAAGACAACTCTACGTTCCTAGTAAAATTTCTCTTCATATAGTGTTAAATTGTGTACAATTCTTGCTAGATATAGCCCCAAAGACAAGAAGTCGTCTCATTCACTATATTCAAAATAACACATATATAAAAACGTTCATATCTTTTTATCAGAAAAAGGAAAAATCTTACAATTCATGCAGTTGCCTCAAAGATTTTTGGGATCACTTGGTTTAAGTCCCTGGGTTTTCTACAGACCCTTTCTCTGCATTTTGGCGAGTTGCCCCATTATAGTTTTCTTTGAATCCGAATACCTCTTCTATAAAATACAAGCACAGTAATTAGCTTTCTGCAAAGGCTACGAAGCAGATGTGTTTTCTTCCTTCTGAATGTTCTGTGACTTACAAAGGTAACCTATTCTCTGGAGGTGTTTCAAAATCACAAAAAATATTTACAGAAATTAAATAAACACAATTCTGTGTGTATCTATCTTTTTAGCTGGCACATTCATGAGCAATAACAATAACATTAATTACAACTTATTCAGTATGGAATGTAAGACATTTTACTGAATTTCCTTTTGCTGATGAAGATAAGCAGAATTCTTTATATCAGAATAATTTACTGCCAGTAATTTATGGTAAGTTTAATAAATCATTCTAAACACATCAAACCTGCATGCATATTTCCTCCATATTACTGATGTATAGAAAAAAGAGCATTTACAGGATCCAGCTCATCCCTCAGTTTAGTGGATGTGGGTAAAAAGTTTAGAGCTTGGCTATTGATAAATAAATTTCAGGCAAAACTGGCACTATTCATTAAACCTTGCTCTACCTTACCAGTCAGTCTAAGGTGCATCCACATGAATGCTCCTGTCCCAGTTCATTTCACTTCTCTTAAACCTTGATCTGGTCCAATAAGGCATTCATAGCTACTTGATGAGCAAACAAATGTTTTTCACACGTACATTTTACAATTTTAGGGGTGCAGTGAAAATTCCTTAGGGTACACCTAATAGCATAACATGTGAAAATGCCTGCAATTGTTTGGATTCATGTTTGTTATGTTACCCTTCCTCCAAGGAGCACAAAGGACTGTCCTTGATCTCCACAACAATCCTGTGAGATAAGTCAGACTGATGAGCAGTGATTTGCCCAAAGCCATCAAGTGAATGGCATGGCGGAGCAGAGAGTTGACCATGAAGCTCAGGTGTCTCCCTGCTCCTAGTCCAGACCCTCTACCTATTAACTGCACTGGCTCCCGAAAGCTTGACCCTAATCCTTGCATGCAACGTATTATTATACGAGAATAATTCTCCTGCAGCTCACAAGTAACAAATGTGTATGGGGAAAAGTAGAGTGAGGCTGGATCATGAAAGAGGTTCTGAGACCATGAGGTAGCTGGATTAAGTTTCTACTTAACAAAACATTGATATTATTAAGAGGGGGCACTGGGCAATGGTGCGGGGCTGGGCCAAGATGCTTCGTTGCTTGAGTCAAAGGACAAGTTGGCCCATCGCGTGAACACACGCCAAGTGAATCCCTCTTCAACAAAGGCAAGGGGGCAGCATCCTCCTCCACCACCCCTGAAGGCTGCAGGCTGGCTAAGGAGAGTCTGCAAGGCCCCCTCTGCCAACATCTTTCTGCCGCCTCTCAGCATCTGCTGTCTAAGGAAACTGCTTCACTTAGCCAAGCAGTAGGGCTGGGCTGGCAATGCTGCACTCACTGGCATTTAAGAAAAAGAAATGTGTTCCAGCAAGGAAAGAAGACGAGTGGCACCCAAGTTAGGAACTGGGTTATCACAAGACCTTACTCCATGCTCCAGCCAGAAAACCACACAGAAAGTTGTAATTCTTTAACGAAGCTCAAGCAGAAGAAAAACTCAGGAAATGACATACAAACCGTGACAGATCCTGGGGTGAGATGCGGACTGAACCAGCTCAACATACCATTTGCAGCAGCAGGTCATATAAAAACTGCCAGTTTGGATACATCCAAAGCCTATTACTAATGACAGCCTCCCAGTAGTGTCTCATGTCACAACAGCTGACATCAGCTTTTGTGCCATGAATGTGTCACTCAGCTCCGTGGTTGCATAGCGAACCCTGTACAGACGCCACCTTTTGCCCTCCACTTCTGACGGAGCAGAAGTGACCACAGCTGCCACCAAAGGCCTTTTCTCCTTTCTTTATGCAGCAGCCTGATCAGACTGCCAGTTGGACTCAGGGACATTGTACAGCCAAAGCGATGCAGCTCTGTCCGTACAGAAGCGGGGGTGTTGCAGGGAGAGGGGAGGAATTTTAAATTTATTTAGAAATAAAAGGGCTGAACAGAGGCGTCCCCTGAAACCGTTGTGACAGGTTAAAGAGATAAATAGACAAGTCACTCTCCCTCGCCACAGTGGATACAGCAAAAGTGTTCAATCTCCAGGGAAAAGCTAACTTTCTCGGAGTACTGATTGACCGCTTCAGCAAAGGCAGCAGCGATTTTGCGTGCCCAGAATGCAATCCAGCTCAGAGTATCAGTATTTACAACCTGAAGGGTGAATGCAAAAATCCACTTTTCACAGATGGTGTTTTCAAATTATTTTGAGGTGATGAGCTGAATTTTCAGCTCCAGGCTAGTTCC